GGCCGAATGCCGGCCGGCAAATGTCATCAGCGTTCCGGGTGGACGTCATATGGCGTCCTCCCGCACATGCGCAGATTGCACTTCTGCAAAGCCGCGCAGCGGAGCGATCTGTCATCGGCCGTGTACCTCGGACACGGCCGATGACAGATCTGAGTATCGGCCCCCGTTCACCAATCACAGCAGGTCACATGACAGTTGTATACAATGGATGGCTTCATTCATGCCATCCATTGTATACTAGTGTCTAGCTGTGAATGGTCACAGCTAATCACATGCACATGTCATGTGATTAGCTGTGGCCAAATCACTGCTAACCACAAAAAAAAAAAAAAAAAAAAACCCTGAATGAATCGATGTCATTCAGGTAAATGCTTGCTTATAGCAAAGTAATTCTTTGCTATAAGCAAATTGTGTAAAAAAAAAAAAATTAAAAATTAAAAATAAAAAAAATACTGATCACTTCCCCAAAGTAGTACAATGTTACTATGGTAACATTGTACTACTTTGGTCATAGTGAAATATGAAAAAAAAAAAATCTTCAAAGAAAAAAATTTAATAAAAAAAATATATATTTTTTTTTTCATACTGTCACCAGTCAGTGTCCCTGATCACCGCCATGCCAGTTTATATGATGACGCAGTACTGCACTGATGACAGTATGTAAAAAAAAAATAATAGTGCAACTAATTTTTTTAATTTTTTAGTTCATTTTCCGAAAAATGACAAAAAAAAATACAACTTCAAAAAACTCGCCATGCCTCTTCTGAAGTACGTTGGACTGTCTACTTTGCAAAAAGGGGTCATTTGGGGGATATCTGTACTATTCTGCCATTCTTGGACCTCAAGAAATTAGATTGGCTGTCAGTACTTCAGGATTGATCAATATTCAGATCTCTATACCATAGTTTGTGAACTCTAACTTTCCTACAAACTAAAAAATACATCCTAATTTGGATTATTTTCACCAAAGACATGTAGCAGAATACATCTTGGCCTAAATTTATGAAGAACAATTATTTATTTGCAAACATTTATAACAAAAACAAAGAAAAACGTGTTTTTTTTCAAAATTTTTGGTCTTTTTTTGTTAATTTAGCAAAAAATAAAAACCTCAGCAGTGATTAAATACCACCAAAAGAAAGCTCTAGTTGTGTGAAGAAAACGAGAACATTTTAGTTTGGGTACAATGTACAGCTTTCTGTGACTGTTGGGATTGGCTCCCAGAGCAGTCACATGATCCGGAACAGGTCCTGCAGGATCTAGATCAGAGACTGTGACTGAGAGCTGTCAGTGACAGCTTGCTCAGTGTGCTGTCAGCACACTACCTCAGGCCACCATGGATGCATGTGGGTGCTGGCTGGGCGTTAAACCCCACTTTTTCTTGTTCCTGCATATATGTGTTCTGTGGCCAGAGATGAAATATTTTGCATTAAGGCAACGCCTGCTCCTCAATGGATATGCAGCATTTTTGCAGAAGCAGTGCAGCACAACACACAACGTGTATGACTTAATGCACTGCCATGCATTATGGTATCAACAACAATCTTTTTTCTAAAACTGGACAATGAATGGCACCCTAGATGTGAGTTTTGGTAATGTGCATTAAAGCGGGAGTAAACCGCAAAAAATAAAAACAATCTTCTCTCTGCAAGTTAAGAGCATAATTTGTTAGCATGCATTGCATACTAGCACACTATGAAAGACTTACCTGAAAACTAAGCCCTCCAGCGGAGTGCTGTCACAGCTCCCATCCTCACCTGGTCCTTCATTCGGGTTCATGGGCTGTGGCCGTTTGACTGGCCGAGCCATGATGACATCACTCCCTCACATGTGCGCGGGAGTATCAGCCACGGCATGGCTCTCTCAATGGATCCATTGAGAGTGCAGTGCGCATGTGTCCATGACTTCACCGGCATTGCTAAAGTAAATATTTTAAATGGTGCATGTTTAGAAGATATTTTATTGTACCTAGAGGTAAGTTTTATTATAGGTTTAACAAAAATCGGGACTTTACTTCCACTTTAAAAAGTATGCTACCACACAGGGTAGGTGTGAATTGCACTTAGGCTTTGCATACAACTTTAAAGCTGAACTCCAGGTATGGATTTCATTGCAAAGTTATGTTGTTCCAGCTTGGACAACAGTAAGAATGCATATTCCATACCTGTGGGACTGCTGTAGAAGTAGCTGCCGTCACAAGTGATAGCCATTATCTTCTGGGTCCCACTGAATATTAATCACAGGGGGTCACTTTCTCAGAGCAGGCACCATTCAGAGAACATGTTACATTTTTCTTGCAATGAATGCAAGCTGTTCACCAATTGGATGAGGTGTAGCAACAATGTCACAATCTACACATCATCCAATCAGAGAAAGGTTCGTATTCATTTAGAAAAAAATAAAGGTGTTCTGTGAATGGCACCTGTGCCCAGGAAGTGATCCCGTACCGTATTTCATATACAGTGGGGCAAAAAAGTATTTAGTCAGCCACCAATTGTGCAAGTTCTCCCAACTATGAGAGACAAAATGAGAAAAAAAATCCAGACAATCACATTGGCTGATTTGGAAAGAATTTATTTGCAAATTATGGTGGAAAATAAGTATTTGGTCACCTACAAACAAGCAAGATTTCTGGCTCTCACAGACCTGTACCTTCTTCTTTAAGAGGCTCCTCTGTCCTGCACTCATTACCTGTATCAATGGCACCTGTTTGAACTTGTTATCTGTATAAAAGACACCTGTCCACAACCTCAAACAGTCACACTCCAAACTCCACTATGGTGAAGGCCAAAGAGCTGTCGAAGGACACCAGAAACAAAATTGTAGACCTGCACCAGGCTGGGAAGACTGAATCTGCAATAGGCAAGCAGCTTGGTGTGAACAAATCAACTGTGGGAGCAATAATTAGAAAATGGAAGACATACAAGACCACTGATAATCTCCCTCGATCTGGGGCTCCACGCACGATCTCACCCCGTGGGGGTCAAAATGATCACAAGAACGGTGAGCAAAAATCCCAGGACCACACGGGGGGACTTAGTGAATGTCCTGCAGAGAGCTGGGACCAACGTAACAAAGGCTACCATCAGTAACACACTACTTTGCCAGGGACTCAGATCCTGCAGTGCCAGACGTGTCCCCCTGCTTAAGCCAGTACATGTCTGGGCCCATCTGAAGTTTTCTAGAGAGCATTTGGATGATCCAGAAGAGGATTGGGAGAATGTCATATGGTCAGATGAAACCAAAATAGAACTGTTTGGTAGAAAACACAACTCGTCGTGTTTGGAGGAGAGAGAATGCCGAGTTGCATCCAAAGAACACCATACCTACTGTGAAGCATGGGGGTGGCAACATCATGCTTTGGGGCTGTTTCTCCGCAAAGGGACCAGGACGACTGATCCATGTACAGGACAGAATGAATGGGGCCATGTATCGTGAGATTTTGAGTGCAAACCTCCTTCCATCAGCAAGGGCATTGAAGAAGAAACGTGGCTGGGTCTTCCAACATGACAATGATCCCAAACATACCGCCCGGGCAACAAAGGAGTGGCTTCGTAAGAAGCATTTCAAGGTCCTGGAGTGGCCTAGCCAGTCTCTAGATCTCAACCCCATAGAAACCCTTTGCAGGGAGTTGAAAGTCCGTGTTGCCCAGCGACAGCCCCAAAACATCACTGCTCTAGAGGAGATCTGCATGGAGGAATAGGCCAACATACCAGCGACAGTGTGTGCCAACCTTGTGAAGACTTACAGGAAACATTTGACCTCTGTCATTGCCAACAAAGGATATATAACAAAGTATTGAGATGAACTTTTGATATTGACCAAATACTTATTTTCCACCGTAATTTGCAAATAAATTCTTTCCAAATCAGCCAATGTGATTGTCTGGATTTTTTTTCTCATTTTGTCTCTCATAGTTGAGGTCTACCTATGATGACAATTACAGGCCTCTCTCATCTTGAAGTAGGAGAACTTGCACAATTGGTGGCTGACTAAATACTTTTTTGCCCCACTGTACATACTAACTTTGGTCCAAGCTGAAGCAATGGAACAGAAAAACAACAATACCTGGAGTCCAGCTTTGATCTGGCACCTAACAAAATGTATCATCAAGGTGTATCAGTTGTATCACAAAAGTGTTCTCAACATCATCCTTCTCTGAGGCTTGCTTACACCAGAACGCCATGCAGGAAACAGTTCTGTGCATGCTTTCCCACACAGTGTTCAAAACTCACTGGGTATGCAATCTACTGTGGGTGTCAATGTATTCCTTACGACATGCCAAATGAAGCTCACAAGTTCAGTACGTTTGCCTGCACCAGTTTGCATGGTATCGCAGTACCATGTAATCTGGTTGCAGTACGTTTTTAAAAGTAGTGCAGGCACTACTTTTGGTGCAATGTGCAATTTCAGCCCATTCATTTTATCAGACCACCCTAAACTGCACAGGAACACGAACCACAATTCATGCGTGAACTGGCCCTGAAACAAAAGATAATGATCATTTCTAACAGTTGGCTATAGATCATTTTTTTTTTTACCTTATGCATCCTTTGGCAAACTAAAGCTTGCCATACACTAGTATATTTTCAAACAAATGTTCGTACAAAAATTCTAAGTACATTCGGTGGCTTGACAAAATGCCATTACTTCAAAATGTTAACATTCAATTTTGGAACAAATAGACTTTACTTAACTAAACCCACATACACTTTTAGAAATGTATTCATTCCAGAAAAAATGTCCCTCTTCCTTAAAAATTTTCTCATCACTGTGACTGAAATCGAATGTTGATCTGACACCCCTAATGATTCAACAAGTGAACGAATGTTCTTAATGTGAAAAATTGCAAACACAATTCTGCTAATGTATAGCCATCTTAAGACTATGAAATGTTATGAATGTGCGTGCGTAGAACAGTGACACCGAAATAGATCACCTTCAGAAACATTGTTACCACTGTCGCTTTCTACAGTAGATCAGGGGCACAGGTAACTCACCGATTGCTATTCGTGGGGGACGGTGGGCATCCAGTCCAACTTTCTGCTCAGCTCGAAGCAGAGATGATAAGACTGTATCTAGCTGGTCCTGCAGGTTGTCCTCTTCTACATGGCGGAACCAGTAGGCAACAAGCAGGGCAAGTAAGGACAACAGTGGTAGGCACAGGAACTTGGGAGCAGCCATGGAACGCCAAGCACAGGTCCTCTTCAACAGCCAAGCTCACCACATAGATTATCAGTCCTGTTCCTAAAAAGTAGCAAAAGATCCCTCACACACAAAGAGCAACTGCTAGCAGAGGCACAGAGCCGTCAGATAGGTATTGGAAGGCAATGGCTCATCTGTGCAGTACTATGTACACTTCACACACATGCACAGTCACAGTGTCAGCACACAGCAGCTAGCAGAGCATGTGCCCATTCATGTGAGAGCTGGGAGCAGAGCTAAGCTGCTGCCTGATCACTTCAGGTAAGATAAGCAGTCACCTTCCTGCCACATCCACCTTCTCCCATCCAACACACACAGCCAGCAGCAGCTCTCCCAGCTCTGGCCTCTTCCTCTGGCTGGGGGAGGAGCTAGAGACACACACACGGAAGCTGGTACACAGCAATGCTGAGGAGGGTGTGCCTGCTCTGCTCCTCTGCTTAGCATACTGTTTATGCCATGTCATTGCTGTCTGCTCAGACTAGAAAAACGAAGGAGAATCCTAACCTGCAAGACTGAAGTTATCTCTAACACCTGGAAATCATAAAGGGTTCATTCGGGGGGGGGGGGGGGTAAAAGAAAGTGGTTGAGTCATGGATTCAATGCCCCCTGACTGCCCACCAAAAAAAAGAGCATGCTGCTGCTCAAAGCTATACACATTCCACTATGTAGCTGCAGCAAAAATTGAACAGCATTTCGCAGGCAATACTGCTGCCAAATTCAACCCCCAACTGCATGTAATGTCTGCAGTTGGAGCGTGGTGGTGCGGCATATGCAGGGTTAAAACAGGCAACATGTCGCCTCCTCACCCACCTCTCATCAAGCTCATAGACATTCATCAGAAATCTTTTCTGTATTTCAGGTGGACTGGAGATCAGCTAGCACCACATCCCATGTATTGAATATCCAGCCTTGTACAGAAAAAAAGGGATTTTTAACCACTTGCCTACAGGGCACTTCTACCCCCTTCCTGCCCAGGCCAATTAACAGCTCTCAGCGCTGTCACACTTTGAATGACAATTGCGCGGTCATGCAGCACTGTGTCTATATGAAATTTTTACCATTTTTTTTGTGACAGAGCTTTATTTTGGTGGTATTTAACAAATTCAATACGGGGCAATTTTACACCTTCCTGCCCAGGCCAATTAACAGCTCTCAGCGCTGTCACACTTTGAATGACAATTTCGCGGTCATACAACATTGTACCCAGACTAAAATGTTATTTTCTTCACACAACTAGAGCTTTCTTTTGGTGGTATTTAATCACCGCTGGGGTTTTTATTTTTTGCTAAATTAACAAAAAAAGACCAAAAATTCTGAAAAAAAACATGTTTTTCTTTGTTTCTGTTATAAAAGTTTGCAAATAAATAATTGTTCTTCATAAATGTATTATTATTATTATACAGTATTTATAAAGCGCCAATAGTTCGCTCAGCGCTGTACATTACAGAGGGGGACAGAACATGTGACAGAATAATACCAATACAATGCAAATTTAGGCCGAGATGTATTCTGCTACATGTCTTTGGTGAAAATAACCCAAATTAGGATGTATTTTTCAGTTTGTAGGAAAGTTATATAGTTCACAAACTATGGTATAGATCTGAATATTGATCAATCCTGAAGTACTGACAGCCAAAATTATTTCTTGAGGTCCAAGAATGTCAGAACAGTACAGATATCCCCCAAATGACCCCTTTTTGCAAAGTAGACAGTCCGACGTACTTCATAAGAGGCATGGCGAGTTTTTTGAAGTTGTATATTTTTGTCATAATTTTTCGGAAAATTAAAAAATGAGTTTCACTATTTTTTTTTACATATTGTCACCAGTGCAGTACAGCGTCATCATATAACTGGCATGACGGTGATCAGGGACACTGACTGGTGACAGTAAGAAAAAAAAAAAATATATATTTTTTTTTTTAATTATTTTTTATTAAATTTTTTTTCTTTTTTTTAAGATTTTTTTTTCATATTTCACATAACCAAAGTAGTACAATGTTACCATAGTAACATTGTACTACTTTGGGGAAGTGATCATTATTTTTTTTTTTTTACACAATTTGCTTATAGCAAAGAATTACTTTGCTATAAGCAAGCATTTACCTGAATGACATCGATTCATTCAGGGGTTTTTTTTTTTTTTTTTTGTGCTTAGCTGTAATTTGGCCACAGCTAATCACATGACATGTGCATGTGATTAGCTGTGACCATTCACAACTAGACACTAGTATACAATGGATGGCATGAATGAAGCCATCCATTGTATACAACTGTCATGTGACCTGCTGTGATTGGTCACAGCAGGTCACATGGTACCAGCAACTGGGGCGATACTCAGATCTGTCATCGGCCGTGTTCGGACACGGCCGATGACACCAGCCATGTACCTCGGGGTACATGGCTGGTGACAGATCGCGCCGCTGCACGGCTCTGCAGGAAAGCAATCTGCGCATGTGCGGGAGGACGCCATATGGCGTCCACCCGGAACGCTGATGACATTTGCCGGCCGCCAAAAACCGCTGAAAATTGTGAAAAAAAAACATTTTTTTCTTAGTTTTTGTTGTAAACTTTTATAAATAAGTGATTTTTCTCCTTCACTAATGTGCGCTAATGAGGCTGCAGTGATGGGCACTGATAGGCTGCACTGATGGGCACTGATGAGGAGGCACTGGTAGGTGGCACTGATGTGCATTGACAGGCATCACTGATGGGCACTGAAAAAAAACACCGATATATGGCACTGTTAGGTGGCACTGACTGGCACTGTTAGGCGGCACTGACTGGCACTGTTAGGCGGCACTGATGCACACTGATAGGCGGCACTGACTGGCACTGATAGGCGGCACTGATTGGCATTGTCAGGTGGCACTGACTGGCACTGATGGGCGACACTGAAAGGCAGCTCAGATGGGCACTGATATGTGGCATTGATGTGCACTGGTAGGCACTGATATGTGGCATTGATGTGGCACTGATGGGCACTGGCATGTGGCACTGTTCAGCACTGACAGCTGGCACTGATGGACACTGACAGCTGGCACTTCTGGGGCCACACTGATCATCAGGGCACACTGATCATCAGTGCCCTGATGATCAGTGTACATGTTCCCTCCGCGGAATACCGGCTCTCCTCTCCTCTCGAGCTGTCAGTGTGACAGCTCGTGAGGAGAGAAATGCCGATAACCGGCATTTCCCTGTTTACATGTGATCAGCTGTGATTGGACACAGCTGATCACATGACTGAGCCGACATCTTCAGCTCTTTCCGTAGATCTGTAATCCGCTGTGTCCGAGGGACACAGCGCACGCCGATCACCGCACAGCGCGCTCCCTAAGCCGCGCATGTGCGGTGAGAATGGGAGGACGTCATATGACGTCCTCCCAGAACGAGAGAACCACCTTGCGCCTGTCATTGAACTATATGGCAGGCGGGAGGTGGTTAAGGTGCTCAACAGACTTCAAACACTTAACATTCTACTAAAATCATACAAAGCTTTATTCCATATTGTCATGTACAAAACCACATTACATTAGTAGTTGGAAGAAGTTTAAGCCCTGGTTTACACTGATGCATTTTCAGTGCAAATTCCAGACCGCATCAGACTCACAACCCGTTCATGCGAACCACTGTGGGTGTGTATGTTAAACAGCACCGCAAAAGTGGTCCGCAAAACGCGGTGCGATGTGCAGAATCAGAACGTATAGGTGTGAATAGTCAAGTTGCTCCACCCCAAACTCATCCATGTCTTTATGGACCTTGCTTTGTGCACTGGTGCGCAGTCATGTTGGAACAGGACGGGGCTATACCCAAACTGTTCCCAGAAACTTTGGAGCATGAAATTGGCCAAAATGTCTTGGTATGCTGACGCCTTAAGAGTTCCCTTCACTGGAACTAAGGGGCCAAGCCCAACCCCTGAAAAAAAAAAACCCACACCATAATCCCCCCTCCACCAAACTTTACACTTGGCACAATGCATTTAGGTAAGTACTGTTCTCCTGGTAACTGCCAAACTCAGACACGTCCATCGGATTGCCAGACAGAGAAGTGTGATTGGTCACTCAAGAGAACACGTCTCCATTGCTCTAGAATCCAGTTGCGGCGTGCTTTACACCACTGCATCCAACGCTTTGCATTCCACTTGGTGATGTTAGGCTTGGATGCACCTGGCTCTTGGACAACTCTTCTGATAATCCTTTTCATGCCTCTGTCAGAAATCTTGCGAGGAGCACCTGGTGGTGGCCAGTTTATGGTGAAATGAAGTTCTTTACACTTCCAGATTATAGCCCCTACAGTGCTCACTAGAACATTCAGAAGTTTAGATATCCCTCTGTAACCAATGCCATCAGTATATTTTGCAAACAATAAGGTTGCGAAGGTCTTGAGAGAACGCTTTGATTTTACCCATCATGAGATGTTTCTTATTTGACACCTTGGTAATGAGACGCCTTTTTATAAGCCATCAGTTGAGACTGAACCAGCTGATATTAATTTGCATTGACAAGGGGCAGGACTGCTAATTACTGATAGATTTCAGCTGGCTTTCCATGCCTTTATGCACCTCCCTTTCTTCATGTGTTCAATACTTTTTCCCTGTGTCATTCCATTTTATTACACATAACTTAATTTCTGAACTTTTTTGTTTTGTTTTCTTTGTATGTATGGATTGCATAGGTTGTTGCCAACATGTGGTGAACAGTTCATGTCAATAGCAACTTTAGAAATATATTTACCTGAAAAAATGGTGATGTGGCTGCCGGCTCCTGGCCATTTAAGAGGTTCTAATGCGCGAAGGCGGGCATTCGGATCATGTGACTGCTTTGATTGGCAGTCACAGCAGTCACATGATCGGAAAGCTCCCGTTCTCGAGTATGCATTGGGAGCTTTCCAGTCCCCGCTGGTTACTGTGCTGGGAGTGCACTCTCAGCACAGGAATGTGTTTATATAGGGATGCATATCCAGCCACTCAGCATAAAAGCCCA